AACACCATATTGTTGGGAATATACGTACTATTGATAATTATTAATAGTCTGGAATATCCGCGGGTTATCATGTGAAGTGCGTATCGATGCTCGCGAATCATGATAGAAATAACTTTAATAACTCATGTCGCGAATATTCTAGACAGGGAACCGGTCTACGACTCGCCACGGCCTAGCAGTCGTCAGTTCGCCTTGGTATTGGTGAATTGTCCGTACGACGAAGAGACACACGACCCACAGCGTCGACCGTCCGACAATACGAGTCTAGTTACTAGACTCAAGTAGTCAAGTAGCTATTGAGTTAATATTTTTGTGCTTATTGTAAGTTATGAGCAAATAAATAAATAAACACCAACAATACGAATTACATTTTGTAACACCATGTGCAATCGATTTTTTGTCTCCAAAATTGAAATAACGATTTTATATCCATCAACTTTTCATGTTATTACATAAGAAAAAACCACATAATGTTTCCATTCAAATAGCAATTTAAATATTCTGTTCTATATTTTATTAATGTTTTCAACTGAATACCTTATAATTACATTTGATTCTTCTGTATAAAAATACACAAAAATTCAAGTATTAATGCTATTGACAAATTAACCAAAATTGTAAGATTAAATTTATTATTTTCATACTGCTGTATATTATGATAAGAAATTCAATAAAATTGAAAATTATAATTTAGGAAATTAGATCTTTTTCAGTAGGCAATCACTCTTCATGTCATATACTACATTACTACATACTAATTTAAAAAAATAAATAAACTTTTTATCCCGAGTTGCCGAGTTAAGTTACCTATTATTTTTCCCGTATTAACTTTTAACTAATCGAGTTAAATTAATGATTTGTTAACTGTCAACTTTTAACTTAACTCCACTTAACTTGAGTTAATTATTTTCATTAACTTGCCCACCTTTGGACTTACATGTGCTGATTATAGGTAGGTACTTATTTGTGGTTTCTGATAAATTATCAGACTTTTCTCAGACTTTTGTCAATTTCAAAGGCATGGAATTGAAAACTTTCTATTTCACTAACAAGCTCTTCTTTATTTAGATCATCCGGGTAACTGTCAGCTAATGTTTTAGCTCTAACTTGTAAAGTTGTAGAATCTATTTCGTTTATTTGAGAACCACTCAAAAAACCAAATTTACTATTAACATCTTTCAATGCATCAAATCTGCTGTTCATTTCACTAAGAATTCTGTCAATTATTTCCATGAGAGAACCTCTGAAAAGTTCTTCCTGTGTTATACCGAATACCTCATCTTCACAGATTTCTCCAGGCATCGTCTTCTTTTTTCTTTTTCTTTTTTCTTTAAAGTCAGTTTCTAAGCCATTGTTTTGAGCCATGATTTTGGCATCTGCCATTGCCTCTGATACCAAGTTTTCTCTTTTTGATGACAACAAATTTATTAGCCCTTGTATGTTTCTCATTGCTCTTTCGTTTGTTCCTCTAAAAGGACTCCCTTGCTTTGCTAAATATAAAATTGCATCAACAATACAGTGTAAAACTTCTTTCCAGTGAGTTTCTTCTTTTTGAATTGCGTCTTGGAGTTCTTTGTCTATGCCTCCCATTCCGAGAGATGTTTCTAAAGATTTCCACGTACAAAAGTAATGTTTATGATTGGAAGAATTCTCATGTTCTGGTATTTTGTCACTTAGTTTTTTCCAATTTCCTAATCCTTCTTCCTTGGCTAAGGATGACATTTTAGACTCATGTGAAAACATATGAGAAAACATTCTGCAAGAAATGCAATATAAAGAATTTTTAGTCTCACTGTAAGCTAAAAAAGATCGTTTCACCTTCGATCCATTTTTTAAAACTTTATAAAACCAATCTTTAGTTAGAGTTCGTCCATCTCTTTCACTTTTTGAAAAGTCCGGCGTATAGTTGCTGTCAATCCTCATTTTAGTAATGTAACACCTATCAGTATCAGATAGATATTTTGGCCATGTACCAGGATCGTTAAAATCAAATTGAAAGTCAGGTTCTAGTTTCTTGTTTGAGTTTGTTGAAGTCGATGAGTGTGTTTTTGTTAAAATCGTTAAAGAACTTTCGAAGGAAGGATTAGTAACGCTATTATTTGCTATTAAATTTATTGATGGGTGTTTTAGTATCGAAGATTCTGAAATAGTTGTAACGATAACTTCATTCTGGGAAGTTTCATAAATAGGAATTTCTGCATTCTAATTTTTTTCCATTACATTTGAAGTGGGTGGTACTAAGTACTTTGTAAAAGTGCCTTTTAACTTGATTAGCTCCTTCTCTTTTTTTAATCTATTTTTCCTGTACTCAGCACCAGATAGTTTTTTACGGTCAGCCATTATGATTTTATAAATCTAAAAAAGAGTTTATGCTTACTATTTAACTTGAATACGACTACTAAAATATTTACATTATTTATTTTAGCAAAGTTGGTACCATTTAAAATAATTGTTGGAGAAAATCAATTAATTTGGAATCAATATGTTCTATTGATAGAACGTTTTGTTTTTATAAAAGATAATTGGAAACAAAAAATTCTATCACTAGAACCTTTTGTTTCCAAGCTAGGAATTTTAAAGTTATTTAATATTTTGAGTAATTAAAAGAATTTATTTTTAAAATACCTATTAATAAATCGATAGAACGGAAGTTTGTGGATTTTTTGATGCCAAATATTTCAAAATCGCTTGGGCGAAAATACGATATTTCAATTATTGAACCTTAAAAACGCTCTACTGAACAATTTAGATATTGTCACATAGAACTCTTTGATTCCAAGCCCACGATATGTAACTATATAAACGGTTGGTTTAACGCATGGCTCAAGCCACGTTTTACAACACACTTACGAATTTTTTTACCGTAAATAAATTTTAATTATTAAAAATTTTCTTACCGTATTTACAACTCTAAGATGTTGAATATGTAGACACTTTGTACACTTTCACGTCACACGTCAGTCGTCGAATCACGAATCATAAAAATAAATGATTATAGTGTGATCGCGCTAGTACATTAAAAATATAAAATGATAATCAAAACTCATGAACATAGATCTATGTTCACAAACAACCGCACGATCAAAGATAACACTAATTACTAATAATTACTAATACTAATTTTTCCCAGAATACGACGATAGCTGCAAAACTACCGATAACATTATATTATTACCTATACTACAGAATAAATGAATTACAGTGACAAATATTAATTGTATTGTTATTTTGCCATATCAAAAATTGCGGCTTGCGGATACCCGACGTCGACCGTCGTTATTGTGGTATAAATAAGTCGGCGGTACGCGCGTATAATTATCGTAGCATTTCAAAGTGTTAGAAAAAAAAAACGTTTTTATATTTTGCCGCCCCTAAAAATTTGCCGCCCGGGGCAAAAGACCCCCCTAGCCCCCCCTTAGCTGCGGCCCTGCTGATAATACATGGGATCTTGTGTTTAATAAAGCTGCAAGTTCTGAATTGAATAGATTTATTCAAAATCTTAATTTAAAAAAAATTATTGTCCATTATGATAAAAGAGTATTTATTGTTTTTCTATTTTATATAATTGTACATAGATTTAAAATCGGGAAATAACAATATTTTATGATTATAATGTATGTGATAGTCCAAATTATTTTAAAATTAAGAGGGTTTAACAAAAGTTAAATATTTAAGTTTGATGTTAGATTGTAATATTAAATGGAACGAACTATTTTGTTGGACCAAAATTCTCTCCTTAATACGATGCAAATTGTTTAAACATCAATTTATCAATCTATTCTGCGTGGTGGTACATCTGAAAAAAAGTTATTGGTACCTAACCACTAATTTCATAACAAAACAGTGCTGTTCATAACTGCCTTAATAAAACATATCGTTTCAGATCTACTAATAATAATAATTTTAAGGAACGAAGTGTACATCAGCTTGATTTTCTGAATAAAAAATATTCTATGTCCTTCCTTCATACTGAAAGATCACTCTTAATTGGATCCATATATAAGTAAACTTAAATCTTTAAGATATGATTTAAATAGGTACTAAGTACACAAAAAAATATAAGGTCAGAAATTTGTTAATTATTTAGAACCTACATATTTCAATTATCAAAATAATAATTTTAAGAAACATCTTAGACTTAGAGTAAATAATAATATTAATATAAATAAATCTTTATCAATTTTTTTTTATTTCTGAACTGTTAATTTAAGAAATTACTTTGTATTTTGTAATTATTTCTAATAAATTGTCTATATTTCTATCATTGTAAATGTATATAGTTTGTAGATATCTGAGAAAATAACTCTCTACCTTCAACTTAAGCTTTGATTGTAGAAGGCAGATAAACCAAAATGTTTCCAGAATACATGTTGGCGTAATTATATTCTTTTAATAAATGGTTATTTAATATAAATAAATAAATACATATATAAGAAATTATAGACTTCATTTTAAATAAATATACTTTGAGAAAGTATTTATAACACTATATTCAAGTACATTTATCATTTTGTTTGTAAATTAAAAAAAATATTGAATTATCATTTATTACACATAAAAAAAAAGTTTGAATGAGACTATTACGTTCTAAGCATACCAATTTGATTAATTGTATTTATTTTAATAGAAACTTTTTACAAACTATCTTATAATTTGTACTAAAACTGTTGATAAAAAGTTCTATGATATTTTAATATAAACTTTAGGGTTAAAGTAAAAATTCATAAATCATGAGTCTTGATCTATAGTCTTTGCAAAAAAAAATATGTAAGTGTTAATTTAGCATATCAAAGCACACATGTAATCACAGTATCACACCAATGGACATGTGTTATAGTATTATTAATAATAATAAGATATGACAGGTTTTTAATACTGTTGATAATTAAATATAAATATTAGTAATTTCAAATACACATTATTTGTTTACACGTTTTTACAAAAACTTTAATCATCAATTAAAGTATTAATAGTGTTCAACTAAACAACAAACTTGTATTAAACTTAAGCATAGAGAAAAATAAACTAGACAAAACTATCTATTAGTTAGGACTTGTTGATGATGATGGAATTGCTATGGTATATGGACATGTTGTAGCAAGCATTGCTTGAGGTAATCCTAAAGTTTCATTAGTTTCTTTTAATTTTCTTTGGTCTCTAATTTTTAACATTTCTTCTTTAAGCTTATTTAGTATAGCAAAATTTGGTTGATTTACAGCAGCTTTACTCTGGAGCTGAGTGATTTCTTGTTCTTCTTGTTTTTTTTCTTTAGCATTCTTAATACTCCGGTTACCGTAAAGCCGTAACAACGAACCCCAATTATCAATATGTGGATGTAATAAGCCTAGTATCACTTGAGAAGCTTTTTGTTTGCCATCCCTTTTATTTTTACAAGCAACGGAAGCTGTGTGTTTACCAACCATCATTGTACATTGATTTAACATCCTACGGCGATTGTTCAATTTATATTCAATACCTATTTCACATTCACCAAAATTTCTTTGCAAACACACTAATAACATAGCATACGGACTAGGTTCTGTGGTTTTAGCACAGAATTCAGTAATTCTAGGGTCGGTGACTTTAATTTGGTCAAATATCACAGGATCACGTTGGTTTTTGATATCTGAATCTATTTTATTTTTCATTTCAGGTATAAGTATATCTAAAGTGGCTTGAGCAGCATTAAGTTTTGCTTGCTTCTTACTATTACCCAAACCAACACCATATTGAACATCATTAAGCACAACAGTTGCAGAATAAGGTGTTTCTGTATTTTCAAGTTCTTTAAACTCATACCAAGGTTGGGTTTTCAATGCCTGTTGTAAATATTCATGTAATATGCTCACATAACTTTTACCATTTGGATTCATTATCCATTCTCGACGACGATTACACCGTTTATCGTGGTCCTCAGTTTGAACTGGAAATGATATCAATTTAGTACTATCTGGAAGCGAGGGTCTTTCTTTGGTATTTTTTAGTGTGCATCTAGAAATTTCAGTTTTTATATTTTGTTCTTTCGGTATTTTGCTTGAAGCTTTCACTTCTTTAACCTTGAACCTGAAAAATAAGTATAATTAAAATTCATTAGATAAAAATTAAATTATTAAATTCGGAACAATAATTGTATGTTTATTAAAACAAGTAAAAAGTATGAATTTACTTAAAAAGTGATTGACAATATTCCCGTAACTCCTCGTGTGTTAAAGACTCTTTAATAATATTTTCCTGGGCAGTTTCCACTTTGGCATTTGGTATAATCATATCACCAAGTTTACTAACCTGAAAATCAGGTTCATTTTTTATAATTTCTTTATTCTCAAGACCTTTTTGATATTGTAAACAACTAATTGCTGATAATGGAGCTAAATGTGATTTAGGATCACCAGGTCCCAAAAAATAAGGTCTTGATAATGTTACAACTCTACTTTTCTTGTGTAAATAAATAGGCATGCCACTTTTATGAGTTGCTTCAATCCAATTTTCAGGCAAAATATCAAAATGATTTTTACACACTTCTTCTAACACAATTTTTTCATATTCTTTAAAGTCATCTGGAGTAACAGCTTTCTTTTTAAGTTCGCTATTAGTTTTATGTTTGTCTCTATATGCTTTATCTAGTAAATCATATAATTCATCATTATCTATACCTATGGATTTATAAGTTTTAGTCAATTTTTCTTCGTCATTGTTAAAATCATCGGCACCACCACCAACATTTTTGACAGACTCACCATCAGTTTTTTCACTGCCAATAATCTTAGAATTTGTTTCATTTATTACATACTTTTCTAATTCAAATTCGCCATCTGAAATAGGTACATAATCTTCACTTTCACTATCTTCATATTTATTAACATTATAGTCATCATCATCAGATGCTTCAGAAGATACAGCAGTTTGATTAATGTTCAAATTTTGATTTTTGTGATCAAAATAATGGCCCATTTCAATTTCATCATAATTTTGACTACTTTCGTCAATTGAAATATCTCTATCAAATGATTGTCCATTTATATCAGATATTTTGGTTTTTTTTCTAGGAAAACGATCTAAGCTCTCATCAGAATCAGAATCAACTCGACGATTTGCAGGTAGCATATTCAAAATTTTAGTCTGAAACAAAAATTAACAAAATCCATTTATTTATTTTTCAAAAGTATACATTTTTCATTACATTTTTTTTACTTAATAAAATATCATAAAATAGAGAAATTGTGATTCTGTGGTTAATATGATTAATACTAACGTGTATTTGTTGTATATTGACTATGTTTTCTTGTAGATCTACTATTAAATTTAAAAAATAAATATCTCTTCAAGAGTCAACGAAAATAGAATAAAATCTACCTACCTATACCTATATGATTTAATAACTAATAATTAAACTTATATTGAATATTTCAAATAAAAATATTTTCAAAATAGTCAGTGTTGGGTAGGTGGTAACGTAATTACTATCATAGCAAAAAATGTTGGGCTTATTAACAGGCTTCAACATACCTATTGACGAAAAATCAATACAGTGTCACAGTGAAAATATAGTTTTGAAATTGAACTATAGACTCGGCCTAGCCTTAGAAGCTGAGTGCGGACTGTTGCAACAATTCAACTTGCAGTTGCACTCGCAGCAGTGTTTGACTAATGCACAGTGCACAGGTATGAAGTGAGTAGACGTAGTGAGTACTGAGTAGTGACTAGTGACACCTTAATCATGACAGAGAGACTGTGAGAACACTGAGAAGTCTTCAACATGATAACATCGTCTTGAACTCGTGAGTAGTGATTATTGACCATGATTAAAGATAGTATGCCAGTAGGCAGAATGGTCGCCCGGGACATGACTAAGAGATATCTCTAATCTTCATGATTGTGAAACACTGTGAAAGTGATAAATGTTATCAGTGTTATAAAAATCACGTGTTTGAGACGAAAGCGTCGTAAACGTATTAACTATGACTTGTGTATGTCTATGATTTTTGGTACATTTTTATTATTTTAACTGACTGTACATACAATTATCATCTCAAAATGACCAATATAGACTTCATTGCAACGTTTCAAAAGTTAACTGTGAATCCATTAAACTATCTAGAGTAAGATTGATTAATTAATTATTCAATATTTTTAATTTATGACATTATTTTATAAGTATTAATAATAAATGTCGTACATTTTGTTTCAGTGTGCAAACCAATTTTACTGAAGAGACAACTAATTTGTTAAAACAACTGTATGATACTACTAAGAGTGTCGAAACAAAAACTGACAATACCAATGATGACACTTTACCTGAGCTAATAGTCAAAGATTTTGATGAAGAACAAATTTGGCAAGAGCTGGAATTACAAAACTCAGCACGATTAAAACTTTTGGAAAATACTATACAGGGATTCACAAAAAGTGATTTGATTTACCTTGATGAATCTAATAGTAAGTACATCTTTTCTAATCATTATTAATTTTAAAACTAAACATCTATTTATTATTTTTAACCAAAATATTAAACTATATAAGGTAATACCATAGGTAGAACTATTTTACACCTGATTATACTAATGTAAACTATTGCCAAATTAACAATGTTCAAATGTATCTGCTTTTAATTATTTCTGATTTAATTTAACATTTTTATTGCAGATACTTATAAAAAAAAAAATGTTAAAGGTACAAATGATGAAAAAAATCAAATCAAAAGTAAGTATTTAGTGTTAACCAGTACTTAATATTTTGTTATATTAATATAAATACCATTATAATTATAATTGTAATAGGTGGTCCAAAACTTGTTTATTTTTAACCCTATTATCTGGGAATATTTCGAAGAAAACAGTTTTATAATTCTTACGATTATTCTTTGTTTTCATAGCTGTATACCTCGAAATGATTGTTGTAATCTATAAGTAAACTTTAAATTATTTTTAATAATAAATTTAATATGATTTGTTTAGAGAACATATTGAATTAAATAATAAAACAGATTTAATTGTAATTTAATTACATTTTTTAAATTTATAATTTCAAAAATTTGCATAAGGTTTAATTTTTATTGTTTTAGAATTAAATAAAAATAGCACTGAATTAATGTCAGACAAATATGAAGGTAAGTAATAAATTATAATATAGTATAATACCTATAGTTTACTTAGTTAAAAATTAAAAACCATAATTTAAAATGTATCTATTATTGTTTTTAATATATTATTAACAACATAGTAAGCTCTTGAGTATCTACAGAATAGTGTGGCACTGGAGAAGTGCAAATACAGATAAGGGAATTCTGTGACTAACCCCCAAGAACAAATTGAAACAAAATTGCTATTATTTGTATAAAATAATTATATTGTGCAATATTAAATGGTATCTAAAGAAAATTAGATGATTGCACGTTGTATTTTTTTTATCAATTCATATAATATATGTATACTTAACATTTACATTTATTTTTCACAAATACATTAGTACACAACAATTCACAAAAGAAGAATAGATGGTGGTATTTAAACTGTACCGTGCTTAACGAGGACAAATTATTTTTCACAAATACATTATATATAATATATAAACACCATTTTAAGCACTGTACATAGTTCCACAGAAGACTACAAATAATCGAAAGTTAACTAGCCTGTATTATATTTTTAAACAAATCGTAGCATCATCAAATACTTTGCCCTTGCTTAAAAATAATGTAATGTGTATGTATTTAAGACTCTGAAGATGATGATGAAGACAATGACGATAATGAAGATGAAGAAACCGATATAGATCATGTAGAAAGTGAAGATGTGGATAATATTTCTGACTTAGAAGAGGCAGAACCTTTTAATACTAAAAAAAGTAAATATAAAAACAATTATATTATTTATGTTTAATAATATGATATTAATATTAAATTTATTTTTTTTTGACTAACTGTTTTAGAATATTACTATAAATCAACTGAAAATATTGTTTTTAGTGTTGTTGTCTTTTGCACTTTGTTTTTTTTTACATATTTGATTAGTTTTCATTATTGAATTATTTAAGTAGAGCAGGGATTCCATAACGCAGTCTCACGGCACAAGAGTGTGCCATATAATTGTTGTCTTATGTTTAGCTTGTGTAAAATACAAATTTAAATTTAAAAGTTATACGTAAATATACACCATAAATATTTATGCGGAATGACTAGGTATTGACTGTGCTTTACTTGTTTGTATCTTCAAAAAATAGTATGGATTTAATTCTGTGTGTATGCTGTGAAAATATATAAAAGATTAAAGAAGTTGGGAACCCCTGAGATAGAGCTTTTAATTGTTTTAACCACTATTTCAATATTCAATTTTTAACTTAATAAACCAGAATATTTCTAGGAAAAAATAATGACCATTTTACAAATCAATATTAAGTAATAACTTAAACCTTAAATACTTACAGAAAAACAATTTCATACTAAAATTTATTTTATAATACTTTACGAAGATAAATCTTTAATAATGTATTTATTCTTATAATGATCAGTGTTTAAAAAGTCAATAGTCGATGATGAATTTTTCAAATTGTCTGAAATGGAAAACTTCTTACTATCAGAGGAAAAACTGGAGACTGCCAAAGATAAACCAAAATCCCTAGGTGGCGATGTTGATATGTTTCAAGACTTACAATCTGAAAATGAAGTAATGATGATTAAATATTAAGTTTATTTTACTTTCAAAATGTTTGCACATTTCATTTAAAACTATTTTGTCAAACAATAACTGTGTTTTATAGTACAGTGAAAACTCTTTACAACGAAAAACTCTATATAACGTAAACATTACATAATAATGGTTGGTTTGCTATATAACCCATTAGACAATTCATTCTCTATAACGTATTAGTCACTCTCAATAACGAAACAATATTTTATGTTTCATAATACAATTTACGTGTTATCGTATCTATTACATATATAAACTATAAAAATAATCGGCAATAATGCCGAAATTTCCAAGAACGATTACATTCTTTCATTATTTGTAAAAATAATGATGTGTTTGATATATAATATTACATAGGTACCTTTATGCATAAATAATTAAAATTTTGTTTTTTTTTAAACCCTCTCTATTACGAAAACTCTCTATAACGAAAAAAATCTCTTGGTCCCTTCAGATTCGTTATAAAGAGTTTTGACTGTATTATTTTGTGTATTATAAGCCTCAAAGAATGTTCTGTAATTATCATATACTTATTAAATTTACAGGAAGAAAATAATTTTGGTCCTATGTATCAAGAATTCTTCGGGGAACAAACAAATGTTACTGAAAAAACAACCAAACCAAAAAAAAGCGTAAGATTTGAAATGGATGATTTAAAAAATGAAAATAATGAAGAAGACACAAATGAACCTAATGAAGACAACAACGAACATTTGTCAACTCTAGAAATGAGATCAGAACGAATTAATAAACGTATTGCAAGATTGGAAGAAGAAGCTGTATCTGATAATAAACCTTGGGCTTTGAAGGGTGAAGTTACAGCTAAAGACCGTCCTCAAAATTCTCTATTAGAAGAGGCTGTTGAATTTGATGTCTGTACTCGTCCAGGTAAAATATAACAAAAAATAAAATTGGTTGATTGCTTTAAAGAATTTAATGTTAACTAAATAAAATATATGAATTTTATATTAACTAATAAATTAATATTTAGCACCAATTATTACTGAAGAAACTACTGTAAAATTGGAAGACATCATTCTACAAAGAATAAAGGATAAAGCCTGGGATGATGTAGAACGAAAAATAAAACAAACTAATGCACCTCAAGAATTTAAAAAACAGTTGGTTTTAAACCAAGAGAAGAGTAAAGAAAGCTTATCCCAAATTTATGAAAAAGTAGTTTTTGGTATTTTTTGATTAGTACTTGCTTATTAAAATTAATATATATTATTTTAGGAATTTATCAAACAAAGAGAAGCAGCTGATCCAGAAAATAAAAATAAACCTGAAGAAGATCCCAAAGAGCATAAAGAAATTGATTTAATGATTAAAGAACTATTTAGAAAATTAGACGCACTTACAAACTATCATTATACTCCTAAACAGGTTAAACAATTTTTTTTATTATTTTATTACATTTTATAACAAAGTAAAATCTTGCTGACAAAAATCAGTTTTTCATGGAATTGAGTTTAAATGATTTTTCAGTTATATTGTCTTGCCACACGACAGGTGCCTTTACAGTGAATAACATGTCTATAAATGTCAACTAATACTTAAATGTGATTAAGTTACTTTTTTTTTAATAGGCCATTCCTGATTTAAAAATTGTTAATAACTTACCAGCTATATTAATGGAAGAAGTAGCTCCAATTGCTACAACTGATGCCTCATTATTAGCACCGGAAGAAATACAAAGTATGTCTATTATTTTTTGATTAATTTCTGTCATTCTTGTGTGAATATTTAATTTCTCAACCTAACCTAACAAATTTTAGGAAAATTCAAAGCACCAGTTCTTGGCAAAGAAGAACGTACTAGTACAGACAAAAAACGTGAACGTCGGAAAAAAAAGCATTTGCAACATAAGAAACGTATAACAAAAGAATCTAACCTCAAGGAAATGGAAAAAAATGGTGTTAAACTTAAGAATAATAAAGATAGTACACAAAAAGAACTGAAACGGTTAACAAGTAGTGGACATCAAATTAAAGAAGTAAGCATGAAATACCAATTCAAAGTTAATAGTATCTTGTGTTTATATATTTATGATTGATTTCAGTTAAAATCTCTGGATGACAAGAGTATGAAAACATCTAAAGATTTCTTTTCCAGACTTCAGGATCAGGCA